CGCGAGCTGGATTAGCGTATTGAAGTAGCGCAGTATTTGAAAACACTGAATTGCATAGAAAAAGCGCTTAATTATAAAAATATTTCAGAGTACCAGAAACAGAGGCGAGACAATATTTTAAAGACTGTAGAAATTTGTTTCTGACTTAGTTCGTTATTCATAGATGCTACATCTTTGCACCATTCAAAAACTGGACACATATGTTATAAGTATGAAAAGTCAGATAGACAACATACGGACTGAGTACAAAAACGATTTATTTTATAGTTGGCAGTTTACCATTTTCATCATTAATTAAATTGTCAATTGCGGTTAACGTTTTTAAAAGGATTTGCTAAACGTAAATGAATCGAATCCCTTTCTTTTATATGTGGTTATTCTAAGCTGCAATTCATCTTATGAAAGGCGCGCGACCGCAATATATATATAGTTTTACTATCCTTTCATAATTCGATCCTTTTTATAATTAATGCGAAGGAGAAAGAGTATAAAATTCGAGGTAACCAGAATGCTATTATATATATATACATATGTATTATGCGTATGTTCAATATTGTGATGCTGCGTTACATACGTGTCCTAAATTATATATTAATACTGTGTAATTCTATGTGAGTGATAAATATGTTTGTATCCACCTTATGTTCGACCTATTTTAAATCATGGAATAACAGACTTAGCGTCTTTGCGTTTCCGGCAGAGGAATCTCAGCAGCTTTAGTGTGATGTTTCATCTGCAAACTGAAATCCTGAGGTCAAGTCAGGCTTAGTAACATGTATGTCTGTATATCAGGACACGAACTATTAACGAAGCGCACCTGTACAACACTTGTACGTTTTTGTATCCGATTAAACAATATCGTCAAAATACATGATAGAAGATGAATCTGAAATAGCTCAGATCTACATTAAACGATTGACGGAGAAACTTAAGTTTTCTTGTAAAAGATGACGTATGCAGGTGTGCGTGAACGAAATGATGAATATTTTGGTTTCTTTTTCACTAAAACGAGAGATGTCAAACATGCTGCAGTTTTCCGGTTTCAATTTTTCTCTCGTTTCATTATTTTACGATACCAAATTATCAGGTGTAGTGCATAAAAAAATGAGTTAAAAGTGTTTCAGAACTAATTTTTAAAATCAATTGGAAACAACAAAATCGAGACGGCGCTCCATGTTTATCAGAAAAAGCTACACATTTATAGAAGGCTGTTTAAAATAGCTGTTTAGGCCAGATAATTATATATCGAGAGGAATTGACAATGGAAGAAAATGTAAAAAGTAGTTTAATTTTTTCTATTCTTTATTTGCTTTATTATATAGTTCTTTTTCCCTCTTCGTTTTGGAACTTTTATCGCTAATATTCTTATTAATGCAATAGGTAGCATGTTGTGTTAAAATAGGATTGTATTGATATCAAAATGATATTTATTACCAGATTCAAACTTAAATAAACATGACCACCTTTTTTGCTTTATTAACCCATTAAGGTTTATTCTGCCTCTTCATAAATATTAGCAATTTTTAAATTTCTATGACCGATTAGTTTGGTGATTCAGACCTAATAAACACAAAGGTATAAACTATATTTTAGTTAATCAATATAATAAATGCTATTTTATGTTTACTTTCTTCAGCTAAGCTTTCGGTTAAAGTAGTGCTAACAACTAATTTTATTCAATCTGACGAAATTGACTCTGATGAATATTCAGATAGCAAAGAAAGAAATCTTCATCCTCAAGGAAAAACATCAAGCACATCTGAAATAAGAACGGTGCGTTTTTATTTATTTTCCTTATCATTTATCAATGCATATGCCCGCATGTGATCATCGATTACGCTTGTTGACAATCATAATATATACGTCAGTTTGAACTCGAATGGGAACAAAATCACGAAGTTGATTTCGGAAATTCTGATTTCTTGTGAAAAACAATTTTGGAATAAGTTCTTGTTGTGTTTGTTGTTGTCATGTTGCCAAATGAATTGCAAAAGAAAAAAAATGAAATAATCTAACCATTTATACATATCTACATTATCTATGGCGGTCTTTTACTGTTTCATAAAAACAATGTTTTGAAATGATATCTTGAATTGCATGTTATTTTGCTTAACTCAAAGACTGGGCTAAAATTGCATCCGACTTGGAATTCTGAACTGAAGCATGTCTTCACATATGCCCAAAAAATAACGGGAATGAAACCCGCAGGGAGTAGCTTTTCCCGCAGGCGCATTTGAACAATAGAGTACTGGCGCGATTAATACACGGGTTTTCACAAATAACAGATTTTTCGATGATTGATTTATATTTTTTTGACTCCGTCAACATTAGCTACGGATTACTTACTCAGTAATTTTCGAGAAATCAAATGTCGTCTGCTTTGGAGAGATATACCTAAAATAGAAAAAAAAAAAATTAATGATGTTTCGAGAAATGAAGTTTATACTCTGCTTTTGACGAAGACTATAAAGCGAACATGATTTATCGAGAAGACCAGTGGTAATAACAGAATCACATAACGATCTGCGCTAACGAGACGTTAACGAAGTAGGCATGAGATGACTTATTTTCGAAACACAAAGCATCATTAATGAATCTTCAGCTTATAAGACTGCTCCGCTATCGCTTATACGTGAAACTAGAGAAAGTCGGAAGCAATCACCCTTTGCGACATAAGTAGAATTCTGTAAACATGAAGCCCCTGCAAAATGAAGCGCGTTAAATAAATAGCAGGATACTGTGGATGTTTTTGCAGGGTCGTTTAAAAGAGAAATGATGATGCGTAATTAATTAGAGTAATCATGAGCGTGTTGAGAATGATATGTGAATACTGAGATGTCTCAGTGACGAACCGAACAAGTCAGTTACGCCTTAGCTATGTCTCGTAAGTGATTTGGGGTCATTTCAGACGGTGAAAGGCAGTTGAATGGAAAGTCAATTTATTTTCGTAGTTTTATAAATTTAAGTAGTAGGGGCCGAAATCAAACTCTGCAGAGCGTTTAGTCGAAACCAGTAGTCGCAGAATTGTTATCCAATTCTCTAAATTCAATGAATTTACTGCGAAGAATGTCGCCACCTAAACTGTGACGGCTGGTATCCAATCGTTATGGTTTTTATAGTATTCAACAGTATCATTTTTCCGTCGTGCAATTGTTTTTGTGATGGAATTAAAATTCGTGTTGTTTTATGTGAAATTGCATTGTTATATATATAGATATAGTTGCTTGCAAGTTCATTTCTACGCTGAAGTGGGCAAGGGCGTGACTTTAAATGTAGCACCTGATATCTAACTCAATTGAAATATTGAATTATATTCGCTTTGTATGAAGGGATTACGTTACTAAACAGTTTCTGCGGTTAAGTTTGACATTGCGTTAGCTGATAGTAACAAAATAAACAAAAGGTGGCGGCACGTTGTTTTGTGATTTAATCATAATCCTCTCTACTATAGCAGGATGTAATATAACATTCAGCGCTTCCCGTCCGTCCGTCAACTAGTTTAGCTTGCGATATATTCGTTCATCTTTCAGTTTTCGATTATACTCGGGCCAGTGTTAAATAACTCACGACTTTTGATTCGTGGTAAATTGATTCTGTTTAAGGAAATGTTTTTTGTCGCGTGATACACATTGAAACAGCGATAAAAACAGGATTATTGCTTGTTATTTTCGTTCGGGATTTTGTTAACGCATCGACGCGTTGCAAGGATAACAGTTCATAACGATAATAAGGAGAAAGAAATTTCAAGCAACCTTTTTTTAACAACTGTAAATTATCTGGTTACATTTATTCAATGCATAACTATTTGCTTCTGCAATTTTAATAGTGGCAACATATTACAAATCAACACTTACAAAAACGAAACGACTGATACGCTTACGTACCACATACTTTGTCAGCTTTTGAAGGACGCCAAAATCGTGTTTATAGTAAATTTATACCGGACAATTTATCATAATTATTAGGCAATTGGAACATGATAATACCACTAACGTACTAACATATATTTTTATAAATAAGTGCATACAATCAAAATCAACGTTCTGTTTAAATTTGTTTATATTGAATTCTATCACAGAAAGAACGCTCGCGCGACCTATCTATTTCATTTATAGTTTAGCACAATTATATTCGGTGAAATTAAGATTAACAGACTAGTGTTCATAGTACGTAGCCACAAATAATTATTGCAATCGATGACAAAACGAACAAAAGCGGAAACTTTATTAATCTATAAATATTAAACTTTAAACTAATTTCACATGGATATGATTCTTATTAACGATGCCTATTTATTCGCACGAGAGTATTCAGTAAAGTCCCATATATTTCCGAAATTCAGTTCCGTTCACTGACTTTGTGTACTAGAGCTTAGGCATTAATGACACTCTCTGATCAGACCAAACAGAACAACGTTGGTGGGTTGGTGGACTTTTTGACAAATATCTGAATCAAATGTCTAACAGTGCTCATACTTGGATGCTTTCTTGGAAGCTGATTTTAAAATGGAAATTTCATTTATAAGTGTATATTAATAACTCTATAACGTCATCCAATTCAAAAGGTTCTATTTTCTAATCAATAAATATAAAAGTAGAATACCTGCTCATAATATAATATACAATTTAATTTCCAAGTAAAAAGCCCAATTTTGTGGTAGCAGTGTCGCTAGTGCTGTTAAATGCAGATAGGAAGCGCTAGATTTGCAAGCCAGTTCAGACAATGTACAACTTATCTTGATCCAAAATTTGCCGTTGTATTGCATGATATTCTTGTTTCGTTTAAGGTGAAATTCATGCAATATTCCAGTGGTGACATTGACGTCAAGAAGTTTGGAATCCGCTAACGATAATTTCTCATATGCGATCTTTGACCTTGCTTCATTGTGATGCAACTCATATTCATGTTTAATTAAAACGTGTCACGACTGTTTTATTAAATACTTTCATAAAAATCATTATTGCATTTTAAGATATTTCCAAATGTAATAAATGATGTACAAATCAATTTAGACGATCAAATACTTAATGATTTAAATATTTTTCGGTTTCTATAAACGAAATTGCGGAAATTTTTGTTTCAAAAATTTCCTTGAAAAACGAGCTGGAGAAAAAAATTCATTGCTTATATACTGAAACATCATCATGAACAGCATTTCATATGATTTAGATGAACTAGTGGAAGGTAAGAGTGGATGAGCAATATAAGTGTCATGGACATTATCAGAACTTGCATGAATTTAAGGAGTATATTCTCATAACTGGGGTTTCTCTGATAGATATATCTGAATATTAGCAAATTATCCGATATTTATTTTACGCAAGCCATACACTTCAAAGTTACACTTTAACGTTGATTGCGGTTCGATTCATTGCTTCAAAATAGTAAACCAATTTTTGTTAACCACTTCTTTAGTAAACATAAGAATCAGTAAGAATAAGAATCCTTGAATTACCAACCTATTCACATTTGAATATTCAAGCTTAGCTCCAGTGCCCAGATTTGTTTGCCCGTGTTTTATTTAGCCTCTATCCAATTTGTGAATTTCTATCCCTGCAACTCAGTTGTAATTTCCCGATTTCGAAACAACGTGACGTTAATTTTGTTGATCAATTGTGACGTCACTTAGCAATAACAAAGAGAAAATTCGGAATCTTAGCTATGGCAAGCCGTTTGGCTGATAGACGATTAATAGTTCTGATCATGAATAGAAACACAAAAAAACTCGAAATTATTTGCTTAATTTTTTTTTAAATTTCAGAAGTTGCAAAAAACATGGAAGTCGATAACAATAACGGCATTGAGCTACAGTTTACTACCGAAGGAGAGCAAAAAGAGGTCAACATTACTCTTACATTTTTCCGTATTCTGGTCTGTGTTTTTGGGATTCTTGGGAACATCTTAGTTATTTTTGTGATCCTGGTCCTCTCTGAATACAGAAAAGCAGTAACGCACTGGTAAGTGAAACAAGTAAAACTCTATTCAAAGCAGTTGTTATAAAGCCTCAAGCTGGACAATATATATATAATATTATATAATATCAAAACAGATGCCAACAAATTACAAATTTTTGTAATATTAGGCATTTGAGCATCAGCATTCATGTGGTTGTATGACTGTATGTTAAAATAGAAATATAATTTAAATACAAATGAGTAAAATTCATTTTAGTATGTAAGGGTTTGTAACGAACTCGAATAATTGGCTCTTTTTAAATTATTTTATTTTATTATTTTCTATCATGAAGCATTTAGTGAGAATTGAAATGGAGATTTTGGGGATGTTATTACATTTTTGTGTTCACAATAAAATCGAAATCGAATTTTGCATTATGTATACGTTGATTTCTCTGAAATGGAAATCTGTCGGTGTGGTTGATACGTATTCTGGCATTTGTTTGTTAACGTATCAGGTTACGTAATGATTCGTTCTGTTAGCAGATTGTCAGCGTTTTGTTGTTAGTTTGCTGTTGTTAGCAAAGTATGAGGTATTTTTGACTAAAACAATGATATAAGATGTGCCACAATGAAATGCTTGTTCTAAATCCCAATCCGAGTAATAAGATTGTATATCAGTCCATGATTTAAAAAATGATGAGCAATCTGTTAGCGTTGAATATGGCAACAAACGAAATATAACACAATACCATATTTTGCCATGTTTTTACCAACATAGCAAAAAAATGCAGTGCTTCATCCATGCAATGATAATTCTGTTTTGTATGTTAGTACTTTCTGTTGTATTATTTCAGTAGCGCAGAATTGGAAACTAACCAAATGTATTTTGTGAAATTTTGTTCATCGATAAGATACAGTCAAAAATGTCACAAAATGTGCGAATAAAAGCGAGCGTAAACCTAAGTCGTACAAAGAGCGCGAGACACTTTTATTTACGATCACTTCCGAAACGAAAGTGAAAACGACAACGATGTCAGTAGACGAAAGTAGTTGCATTAATTATTAATCCAAGTAGGATAAAGTTTAGAAATTAATAACACAACGCAAGCTAATAAATAGATCCTGATTTTTGAAGTTTTTTTTTTACTTTGTCGTATTCAATTTATTTTTTTGACATCGTTAGAGAAAACAATGTGTTATTAAATATGCATGGCCAGAATGGGGTAAAACTTTATTTCTTGCGATTCTGTGATAAAATTTGCTACGCTTAGTGAGGCACAAACCCATATTTATAATCGAAGTAGCTTGGACGTAGTCCGTTACCCATTTTATACCAATATATGATTTAGTTTAAAAATTTCTTTTTTCGTAATTTTCATTTTCAATTTTTTTAAGGTATGTGTTGCAGCTTGCAATCGCTGATTCGATTTTTCTGCTGACGATTCCGTTTCGAATAAGTGAAGATATTGAAAACACATGGATTTTTCCGGAATGGATGTGTAAAGCAAAGGAAACAATATTGTTCCTAAATTACTACTCGTCCATTGCATTTCTTGTGGTGAGATCTTTAATAGAGCTATACAATTTCGGTTTACAAGTTATTATAGTCGTCTTCATGACAGGAGTAAAAGCGTGTTATTATAAATTGTACTTTTTAACTTTTAGGTGATGAGCATAGACCGATATATAGCAGTCTGTCATGGATTTTCAAGTTTTCTGCAGAAATTCCGAACTCCGCTTGCCGCTGCTATCATTACAGTTGCCGTGTGGACAGTTTGCTTCCTAATATGCATACCCATTATGCTGTACAGTACACCGAGAGGCCACATGCCAAACTGCAAATGCGAGTAAGACATTTTTGACTGTTGTTGTTGTGTATGTAAAGGGTTTAATGGGTATCTTTATAAAAAGTTTATTCTAACTCCATGTTTCCAATTTAGATATCAATTTCCAAAGTATGTGGATGCCAACAAAACTTGTGCAGATGAGGGAGAAGTTCCCGGAACAGATGGATTCGACTCGTGTGTAGCCCATTTTGGAGACATGAGTGGACCAGCTTGTGCAAATCTTAGTTTAACTTCCATGATATTGGGGCCTGGAAGCGGAAGCGGGGCGTTTGGATTCGATTACAGCGAGATAGATCTCAATGATTTTGACCCGTAAGTTATGTTTGATCAAAACTATTTGATGAAATATTTTGATATGATGTGATCAAATTCTAACATAGAAAATTTTAAATTAAAAACTCAGTTTCTCAGATAAATAGTTTTTTCTATTTCTGAAAACATACCAAAAGTTAATAGCTACCGGATGGTTCGAATAGATTAAATTCAATCTAGTTATAATGGATCTATTTATTATAGATTTGCGTCTGAGGAGACAACCGCATCTCCTACAGGAGAAACAGATGAAGAAAAGCAAGTCTTTCTACAGCCTGGATGTCATTATTTTGATTATGCTGATGGTTTCAAAGCTTTCATTTGGTTCAACTTCGTTGTTATGTTTTTGATACCCCTATTGGTAAGTTTAGTTAAAAACAATTATCAGTTATCATTCTTTCAATTACAAAAGACGCCCGTTAAAAAAGGCAACATGAATCTGACACAACATACTTCGGGACGCGACGAATAAATAACAGGCTCAAAGTTACCATCTAAACAAAATTTTGTTTAACAGATCATGACTGTCTGTTATGCACTGATTGTAAGAAGACTATACGGGACTAAATTTCGCAGCGGCAGTACTAGTGGAGCACCAAACTCCAGCACTAGCGGAAATGGAGAAAAGGGGTCATTCTCTGGTGGAAGTAAGAGGAAGCGCACACGATCCGCAGCTTCGGCAAAAAACAGCAGGAATAAAATCAGAGTAACTGTAATGTGTGCAAGCATGGTGATTTTATTTTTCATCTGCTGGCTGCCCTTCCACTCGGTTCATTTGGCAAAAATGAAAGGAATTCCCCAGAAGGTTTGTGACATGCCTGCTATTTATAAAAGCATATAACTGTATCAAGCATTTTTCTCGGTCTAACATTTTCTTCAATAAAACTGTTAAAATTAAATACTGACGGACTTATATATACCACGCCAAACAAAAATGCCTTGAACTCGAATAAAAACTTTATATTAGTGCTACCTGTTGCTGTATTATTGTGGCGTTTGGCGGGTGGCCCTGCAGGGTTTGTCTAAGGGCGAGAATATTTTACCTATTACTTGATCATGGCCAAGAAAATGTTAATCATGACATTCTAAAGGTTGATTTTTTTTGCAAATTAATCTACATGGTTATATTTTTTGCAGCAAAAATTCTGCCAGGATCTGTTCTATGCTGTCTCGCTAATTGCATTTGCTAACTCGGCAATCAATCCTTATCTCTATAATTTTATCGGCACAAGATTTGGAAAAAGATTGAGGTATTGTGCAGCTTGGCAAAATTAATTTGGTTTGCACGCTTGCATGTTTGTATTGTATTATTTTAAACAGTCTCTGAAAATACTAAAAACCTTCACTTTTTGCTTACTAATCATTGAAAATAATTTTTACGTATTATTATATTTCTGCACAGATAATCGAGTAATTTTCTACAAAACACGGAATAAAACTAATGTGTTAAATTTTTGCTTAGAAGAATGTGACAAAACTTCCATTTTATTAATTTAAATTGATGTAAAAAATCATGCATGACTTTTTGAAACTTTTTTGAAGAATTGCAGAACCCATATTTGTTTTCAGCAACTATGAAATGTTTATGATTCCATAAACATTTCCAATCATGCTTAACAGTTGTGTTTTTAAAATTCTATTGAATTTATTTAATATTTGGCTACGAAATTCTAGTTTAGCTTTGGGGACGAAAACATCTGACCTCTTTTAACGTTATCCTATACAATATATTGGAAAGTAATTTGTAAATTTCCAACTGTTGAAAATGTTTCCAGTTCAAAGTAGACCACTTGTGTTGTTGCATACGGAATATCATACGCAAATTTCTGAATTTGTCATATCAGTCATCGTATGTCACGTAATGCTGGTATATGCATGGTGCGATGACGTGCTTTCAAGAAATGTCACGGCTGTGATAAAGTAGAAACAATAGCACGATGTTCCTAGTTGGTAACAAACAATCTTGCACTAAACACCATATGTTCATTCTATGAGGCAAATGCATAAATGTCCATTGATTTTGCTGATTGATGGTGAGAAGAAAAATAACCAGCATAAATGCCTATTAAAATATTTTTTTTGACCTTCAAAAAAAATTTCAAAATGATTTTTGCTATTTATACGTTTGCAAATTTTCAAATCTAAAATGCAACCATCCCATTAACCCAAATCACAGATAAAACTCAAAAGAAAAATTCAAATGATTCATTTGAAAAACTTGTTGTTTTATCAGTCTATCAATCCTTTGCTCGCTTGATTTGCATGCTTTCAAGGTTCAGTTGTGTCCATTATCTCATTTGTTTGCATGATCTGTCAGTCATTGCACTGTAAACTTTCGTCTATGTATGACTGTTTCCTGTCAATTCCTCAAAATCATATCAAATTTTCGCCATTTGCGTGGCGTTACTTGACAGGAGAGTCAGAGAAACTAAGACTGCCAAGATGTTTCTTTCAATCGCCACTGGGAAATCGAGGGCGGCGGGGAAACATAGCAGCGTTTCTGGTGCCGACATACGCAGCGAATCTGCTACCAAAAGATCTTCTACGAAAGGCAAAAATAACGATTCAAAGAATAACCGATATAACTCGTGGGAACGTGAGAAGGAAAAGGAAGCTCGCGAAGAATTGTTGAGAAATTATCCCGTTTACACCGGACCCACAACAGGTCTGTTTGAGACAATTCGGGCAAAGCATGACATATTCCCATTACGCATCAGTGGATTGTCCGTCGGATGCTGCTTTTGGTATTTTTGATGCCAACTAAAAATAACGAAATATTAGAATACAGCTGGAGCCCAGCGACATTTCTGCTTGTGATTTTTAAACCTCATAATTGCTTCAAAATAGTCACTCTCGTAAAAAACTATGGTCATTTTTCAGGCAATGGTGGCTTGGATTATTATTGCATGATCACTCATTCTGTTCTAAATCAATGATTTGATTCTAGCATGTTTTCTGCACTCTCACATATGTTTCGTTTGTTCAATATTTTTTATTACATCATACTTATTTCTAATAATATAAAAATTGAAACAATAAAACCCACCAGTTGAATATAGAAACACCAGACTCAATTTTTAATATTAAATCTGCAAAGCACCCAAATACCATACAAAAAGCTACATCCTTCAAAACACTGGCACAAAGTGCTGCAGTTCTTTAATACTAATGCGGCAATATTTGCTACGTATAGATTGAGTGCACGGATAGTTTTTTTAACGTGTCAAATACAAACCATTTAGTGTTATGGTTAAATTGTAAAAACGATATTTCAGTTGTTTTCTATATTACAGCTCAGCCGCAGCTACCGTTAGAGAATCTATCAAAAAGCGATCCCCCTCAATACCAGGAACAGTCTCATACCACCACACAAAACGAACAAATGAAAACGGAGCCGCTCACAGCCAAACTGGAACAGTGATGACCAAGTTATTCAAAGGGTAAGCATCAAGTTTTAAAAATGGTACATTTGATCTCGAAACAAAATTTTCACTTTAAATCCAATATTCTACTTTATTTCTTACAGTAAAAGCGAAGGGCCCACTAGTGCAGAGTTTTCCTCTAATGTATTTTCTTCTGACGGTAAACACAACGAAGAACAGCAACGTCTTACAAACGCTGTACCCACACAGCAGAACCAAAATTATGAACCAACTGAACCAATGTTGGACCAGCCTCCAGATTATGACACATATCAGAAGAGTATTCAGGCCGAAGAATTAAGCTCTAAAGTTTGAAGATGATAAGACAAAAATTCCTGTCATGCCCAAATTTAGTCAAACATGCTTTGGTGGGATTAGCGTTGTATCTCCATCGATGACCCAAATTTATGTCTGTCCCCAATTTCTTGCATATTTTAATAACACAGTACAATACTTTGTGCTTGTATATAACCAAATCTATATATTTGTCACCTGAGGATATGAAAATTCTGTATTGTACATTTTACTTATCAGTTGCAGGCAACGAGACATTTTGCATATTATGATCAACTTTTAGTTTGTTCAAACTATAGAGCTGGTGTCGCTCTGTAAGTCGTATATTTCACACCACCTGTCGTGTTATGTTTCCGTGGTCCGTCTTCAAGTAAGCATTTAACGTTGTCGACGTGACATGACTAACTCACGGTGAAAACGTACACGTATTAGGTGGTATGGCATTGTTTTCTCTGATATTTTTTGATTTTTTTTTTGCATAAGACATCTGAGACATAATTGTTTGAAATTATGTAAATGTGTTTGATATTTTATTGTTAATTTGATTTTCATATTAATATTTTTTTTCTTCGTTACTGGATCAAATTATTCCTGATGTTTTCAATTTTCAGGAGTAGCTTGCTTGTAGTCATAATCAGGAAAACTGTTTCATGAATTGGTTTTACTCAAATTTAACTGAAAATTGATAAATATGATTTACTACATGTATGCATATCATAAGCATATTTTAAAAATATTGTATTATTGCATCAAAATGATAAATTTTACTTTTGTGTAAATGAGTAATAAACGTAATATCAAAATTTATGAGTTATTGTTCCATATTTAGGAATCTGTCATCATATTAACATGAACTTATCGCACATTCATATCGCAAATTTTGAAATGAGAGAAACAAGTGTTGCAAAGCAAGTGTTGAAGTTAACTCCACTCGTGATGGTGCACATATTATTTATAGAACGGCTTTTTGTATAATGATTGAAATGAGTTTTAGAGAAAATTAGAGTCGTTGATATGCTCGCTATAACATAGTAGGCTACATAGCTCAGTAATGGATCCGGTTCATACTCTCCAGAAATACAAAAGGATGTTGCTGTCAGTGTGTGTTCAATTTAAATGTGAAGTACATGCTCCGTTTCGTTATCATTCAAATCCAGAAAGGTTTACGAAGGTTTGTATTGAACATTGAATTTTTTTTACAAAAACGTAAGAAGGGGAAATTTATTCACAAAACTTACTTTCGGAAAATATAATAAAAAACGAGCGTTCTGGGTTAGATATTTTACAGCGATGAAGAGTCCTAACTTTCAGTGGAGCTTTTGTAAGCAGACATTATTCATCACTTCTCTCATTTTTTAGATGGCTACGTTATGGTTTAGAGGTGAACCGTGATTAGAGCCGCTGCTATATTCATTCACAATATAGTCATCAATAGATAGTATTCTAGTTTTTTCATAGCACAATCAGAAAGATTCAAATGTTAATGCATATATTTATACATACGAGCATGTGTAATTTTTAAATCAGGAAAAAAATACACATGGGCAAATCCCTTTTTAATGTCACAGGACAAAAATGTTCGGGTGGAAATGAATGTATCCGGTTTTCACAGATTCTTTCAAATGAAAAAATTATTAAACGTCATAAAATGAACGTGTTATCGCCCAACAGATTCATATACGATGAAAAAAGCCCCGTCACACATATGATCCGAGCCAGTGAAACGTCAGTCTCACTGAACTTTTCGAGTTGCCATACTGCAAATTTGAGTCCTTAAATGAAAACAAGTAAAATTACACGATATTCGATATGGCTCTTTAGCGCCAGTAACGGAACATATTCGATAACATTTCCCTGTAGCATATATATGAACCGGATTCTTTGAATTGGAGGCGGTGAATCGAATTTTAAACTATCGAGAGTCGATTGGAGAAGTTACTTTATTAAAGTAATGCACAGCCAAAACGAAAGACAATGGTTCTGAGTCGATTACAAAGAAGAGTGCAATGCTCAAATTGAAGAACAAGGAGATCATAAGACTAAGAAAAGCATAATTTCGGATGAAATTTGACCCTGTATCGTTCATGTTATGCGACGTCAAATTTATCTACTGAGCCTTTTTAATTGGTACTTTACACCGCATTTCAACATGAAAGAAGGCGCAGTAAGGACTAAACCGTCAAAGCTCCGGGTGTAATTATCCCATTTTCAACAACCCCCCAATTATTTCGATTCGGCGATGAATTTTTCACAGTGGCACATTACCAGTTGCCATTGTCCTTTAGAATTCAACATGCTATTAATACAAAGGGACTGAATAACATTACAAATCCATAGTTATATTCCACATTCGCAACAAAACAAATGAAGATAGTCTAGAGCAGTGGTTCCCAAACTTTTTTGACCATCGCCCCCCTACACTAGTTTACACAACTTCATCGCCCCCCGGCACTACAAAAAAATGTAAAGTCAGAAACGAATATATTACAGACCAAATAAGAAGACAAATCATAGTTTATAGTGTTTTTTAATGAGATGGAGGAGCTTGGTGTTCTTCAGCGAGTTTTTTATTATATCTAAAATTACCCAGTTTACTGATGGAAAGGCGATTTCATTGTTTTGATAGCAATAGTAGCACGGCTCAAAAAACCCCTTTCACCATAATAATAGGTCGGAAATGAAAGAATCCAGGGTTCTACCTCCTCAAAAACCGCCGTGTACTCTTGCCTTATAGCATTTCACTCCCTAAATTCACCCCATTTCACATTAAAATAATGAAAACAAAGTTAATTTTCCCAAAGTTATAATAATGATTCCGTACATCTCATCATTCCTACAGCCTGATGACCTGCACCAAAATACTCGATACCCGATTCCTCATCCTACCCCGGCCTCCAGTCCGATCACCAGTCCATAGAATTAATCAGCTATTTGTTTTTGGATTCATGGACTCGGATGTGGAAGAAGCTGTGACCGACTATCGACTACGGCCCAGGGGTCGGCAAATTTTATGTCGCTCGCGAGACAAAATTTAGGGTTGCTAGTCTTTTGCGGGTCGCATATATTTTTTAAAAAGTAAAAACGGAAGAGCGCGTGAAAATTGCGACAATTCGTGAACTCAACTTAATCATCTTATTAAAAAATTATTACAATGACCTTTAATGTGACACTGTCTTGTTGCTGCATCACGCTTGGTAGCTTTACGACGCCAAGATTGGAACATTTTCTAAATGGGCTAATCCCAGTTTTTTGCTTGTTCTTTGTAATGTTCATTTTCGAAAATAATTGTTCGCACAAATATGTACTTCCGAACATCTAAGTGAATATTCCCGCATGGTTTGTGAAATTTTAATAAAGATTTTCTTCAAGAAGGTACCTTCTTACAAAAATTACGCAGTGATGAATCTCTCGAATAGAATATGAATTTTATTTCCGTATAGCATTGCAATATATTCGAATATTTACTGCGCTATCGAACCCTTGCCCTCAACATCAACTTTTTTTTCTTCGTGTTTCCATTTGTCCAATTAGAATTAAATTGTAGGCTCGTTAAACGAGTAGCTAGCTGTTCAATAGAATTTTCAGGATATAATAAAATTTAGTCTAAACGTGTCTCACGATAAATTCTGTTACGTGAGAAAATGTAATTTACCCCTCGAGCGTAGATTATAAATAAAATAAATTCATCGCCAAAACCGCCGTTTGGATGTTTACCCGGGCATAGACTTTCTTGTTTTCATCGTGACATTGGCCAATCAGCAAAATGCAAAAATAAACGTAACAATACCCCCTTTCGCATCCGCTCAGACACACTCACTCAGACAGACTTTCAGGCGTGGTCGTGAACCTTTCTCATTTTCCCGTTTTTGGATTATAATCGTTAATTTTTAGTTGTTTTCCGGAAATTTAAATATAAATCATATACGTCAATGATTACTTTGTCTTCCTATGAGTTTCAGTTTAAATACAGTAATCAAAAATTAGATTAGAAATAGCTGTGATAGACTAGACTAAAATTCTTTATCGGTACTTTTGAAAAACAGATTGTTGAATGATATGAATTATGATGATAGTTTGAAACAAATACCCCATTCTACACAGGCAACAACTCGCAAAACCACTCTTAAAATAAGCACAGAAAATTTTAAAATGGTGAAAGTACAGGAAGAATTTTCCGCGGTCAAAGGTCGGGGAAAGTTCCATTCAGTGAATCGTCCCGGGCCAGATTATTTTACTCAGGCCGTATTTTGCCGACCACTGGGACACGCAAACTACCGTACCTTACTGCGGAGACGAGCCCAGCAATCTTTTCGCGTGTGATAATCGACCACGAGATTCAAGCCTGTGAATGCATACAGAGTACAGAATTAAGTGCACTGTGCGCCGAGCAAAAACAGGTTTCACGAAATCGCCCCCTTCGACTTTTCGCCCCCCTCTGTATCGTTTTCGCCCACCGGCGGGCGATATCGCCCACTTTGGGAATCACTGGTCTAGAGCCCAAATTGGGCTTTTACCGAGGGAGCCTCGAACGCGGAAATCTACGCCTGCTGACTAAAAAACAATGTCTTTTGCTTTTCGTCAGAGCAATTCTCGACGATTTGCAGGTCGGACCACGTGTCGCTTCCGCTTGACGACGATGATTTGAGGTCGGAGAGTGTGACCTTGTTGTTTAATCGACAACATAACCGAGTCGGAATGATGTTGCATTTTCAACGGCGATTGCCTTTTCCTTTAATACAGTATTTCTTAACCTGGGTTAGATTGAACCCCTGGGGTTCGGTGGTGCTGAACCAGAGGTTCGGCGAATATATAAAAATAACTGTAATTTAAAGCAGATATCCAAATTCCAACATTCAGACCATTAATAGAATAGCTTATTTATGTGTAGTATTGCGCGGATAAATGTTTTACAAGACCTGTCAATGAGAGAAGTCACGCGCTTGGATGTACCTCGGGATGGCCTCATTTTAGATGTTTTCTGATTTCCAAATATCTGAGGTTGTTATTACAAACATCGGGCTTTGAACCTGAATATTTGCGTAAACGGCATGTTATTTATAGCCTACTAATAAAACGTAGCTCAATTGTACGAACAATTTGATTATAATAAGTGCGCATGAATGAATGAGAAATTAGTGCACGTTTGAATTTCACCGAAAGATAGAATTTCTAGAACAGAATATTCCATGGCGGAGCTTTGCGTGAAAATGTCATCACCCGTCGGCGATCTTAATTTAGCACTTATACATATCGTATCTGTGAAACAATGGGCAAGTGCTTTTATGTCCATCTGACGGCCCGGTTGAAATCTGTGGTGTGTATGACTTGAGCCACCAAAGTTTTTGATACAGTATCTCAACTTCTGGATCACCAATGTTGCCATTTTGCTTTCGCCGTTTTGCCCATTCTATCGGAACAACTAGGGTTGGGATTTCGGGACCAGTTTTTGAAATCACGGTATCGGGATATCCCGGGATTGAACCGTATAATCCCGGGATTTTTCGGGATAAAGTAAAAGATTGAAACAACTTGCATAACAATTAAATCACGTTTTTATTTCATGTAATATCGACGCAGAAATATAAGAGCATCTAGGGCAGTGGTTCCCGACCTTTTTTTTATATCGCGGCACACTATTTAGCACTTAGCTCTTTGGATATTCGCGGCACACCTATCACGAACGCGAAAAATTTATACCCGTTAAGAGAGCGATAGTCGAACGTGAACAAAACGAGAGCGTCTTCGGATCACCTCACATTATTGCAAAAGTTGCGCGGCCGCATGGGTAGAACGTGGTCTTCAGACGC